GTAAGGAAGGGTAATATAGTAATTTTATCCAATATAAAATTTTAATAAGATTTGACTTGTTGACCTCATTTAATAAACATAAATATATTTTCATTTATAAGATAGTGGTATTACATATTATGTGTTGATAACTAACATTCCACTCAAGATCTAAAAAGAGTGAACGCGAAAATGATGAATGATTCTAAAGCAAGGGAAAGGCCGAACAAAACTACAAAGTGTATCGAACAATATTGCGAAGTGCTGCACCTCGTGATCTGAAGTGCACTTCTATATATCATCGAATGAACTTTACAGTTTAGTTCGGTGCACTTTAAAGTTTGAAATCTTTACTAAAATGTTATTGCGTATTTCTTTCTTTTTCCCTTGCTTCAGAGCCGTTAATATGAGTGATGTGTTCTTAATTTTTACTAAGACATTCGTTCTTACGTGATCCCATCCATATATATAGAGGGGTAGCTAATTCATCAACTTCTCCACCAGATTTCCAATTACATTAGATATGACTGCTCAGAGCCTCCATCATCAAACTAATTAATCAAAGATTCTACACCAAATTTGTCATATTCAAACATTTGGAATTTTGATGAATTTGATATAAAATTTTGATGAATCACATGCTAGAGTTTTGATGAATTATATTTTTAGTTAATATCACAGCTATAACATCATCAATGAAATCTAAAATTACTTATATAGTTTAAACTAATATTCAATATAAAATTTGTTCAAATTTCTAATATTAAACAAAGAAATTTAGAAAGGAAGAGACAATATAATATAGCTTGGCATGAGGGAGAAGAGAGTGCCAAACTAGCCAAGCCAGGTATGACTTGCCTAAACCTAACTCCAATGAAGTGACTCTCCCAAGTGGGAGATCATGGATTCGAATCTCAGTAGATGCGGTATTGATTCGTTGGGCTTCAATATGTTGAGAAAGTATATACGAACAGATACTAGATGTAATAGGGTCAAACTGCCATGCATGGCAGTTACGTTGTCAAATTAAAGATCATCCAAAATTGGTGAGGCAAGTCATCCTTGGCTATCTAACAACAATTTTCTCTTCATGCAATGCCTCTCTTCCTATATATTATGTTGGTCCCGATAGAATGAGATGAGAGTCTAGAGGGGGGGGAGGGGGGGGGGGGTGTGAATAGACTCTTTTCGTTAGAAGTCCTAAACGTCACCTTTCGGTGTCTTGGCGCAGCGGATAAGATAAATTTGATTTATATACTTTGCACGAGTTTGCGTAATTAGACGAACTTTCGGTAACGATAATAATGGAAAGATATGAGAGCAAAAAGAAAAGCGTAAGTAAAGAGATAGAGAGGACACGAGATTTTATAGTGGTTCAGCCAATGTTGCCTACTCCACTCTTCTTCCACAACTGTTGGAAGGATTGCACTATCACTCTTAGTACAAATACACAAAGACTTCCTTGATCACTAAGCCGGACAGCCTTCGTAGGTTTTTCAACTCCTCAAGTTTACTCCGCCTCTATCAACTTCTTCTCCTGAGTTGAGATTGGTAGAAAAAGATTTCTTGAATTTTCCAACGATGAGGTCTTGACTCTGAGATATGATTGCTTCAAACAATTGCCAAGACTTCCTTGAGGTGTAAGACAAAAGATTCTTCAAGTAACTTAACACCTCAAAACTGGTTCACAAAAGCTTTTAGTGAATTGTAGACTTTTCAAGAGCTTTTGTAAGTGAGTAAGTTGAGTGATAATGAACCAGCACATTCTTAGTTGATGAAAGTGAGTTTATATAGGTGATGAAAATCCATCCGTTGGAGGAAGATGAGATTTTCGAACCTTTTAACCAGTGGACAAGGACGGGGAGCTTCATGCATTAAATGCTCCATTAATGAGGTTGTACCATGTAGCCGTTGAGGGTATGGAAGGTACTAGGGTTTTGTCCTTTAGCTCCAAAAGATGGTACATCTTCATTTAATGCTTCTTGAAAAGTGTGTCCCATGAGATGAAGTTCTTATTGTCCTAGGATGTTGTCAGATCAGATTGGTGAAACATTCTTCTCGTTGTTGAAGAGAAGTAATGCTTGATAAAGATTGTCTTTCACCAACACTGTCCTTTCGTGCTTGTTGACAACTCCTGTTTGATTCTCGTTGCTGTTCTCGTGTCTTCTTTCGCCTTGGAGACCATAACATCTAGTCATAACTCATTTTCGTGTGTTTGTCTAGCTTAACACGAATTACAGGGGAGTTATGGCAACTTTCGTTTAGGACGAAGGCAGCGATTAAAAAAGCTAATGGTTAGGGGTTTACTTTTCTACATTACATTGGTATCATCAAAATCCTAATACACTGTTCCTAACATATTACACTCAATTGGTACAATCTCTATTTATACATAGCCTCAGCTAAAAGTGGATTAGACTAGTCGGTATTGCATGTTCTTCAATTCCATATCTTGATTTCCCATTTTGACATTCCCATATATGCCTTTTTATCCATTTTTGATGGGTGAATAATATGTGAGTTGATATCTAAACTCGCAATTAAAAATAATAGGTAAAATAGGGTAATTAAAAATAATAAGGATGAACTCGCAATTCTTAATTGGAATAAATATCTATTTATATTTATGGCATAGAATATTTATGGAAAAATTACCTATGAGGTCCCTGTATTATAGTGTTTTGTTCAATTTAGTCCTTGTACTTTAATTTTGTTCATATTAGTCCCTATACTTTAAAAATTAAAATAATTAAGGACAATAGCTGCTGTGAGAAAATATTTATGTATTTATTTTAGACATATGAATGTAATATATTGGTGGTAAAAATACTTAATTTTAAATATTTATAAATAATATATGAGTTGGCATGTAAGTATGATGATATGACAGAGATAAAGTCAGCGCCATATAAGCTATTGTCCTTAATTGTTTCACTTTTTAAAATACAAGGACTAAATTGAAAAAAATTAAGGTAGAAGGACTAAATTGAACAAAACACTATAGTACAAGGACCTCATAGGTACTTTGTATTGGCTATTTACCTCTTTCGTAATTTAGAAATTAGCATGAACATAAGGTCTAAAAAGAAACATAAAATTTAAAATGGCAATAAGGTTAAACTGAAAGAAACATATATATAATATAATGGAAATGACTAATTACACATGAGAATTGAAAACCAAACACACCATCTAGTACTAATCTTCGTTGGAGTCAATGTCATGACCATGACAACATGTAAAGGTAACAAATTTATGCATTGGATAAGAACACTCGAGACATTTCTCATTCTCTGGGATTTTGTTCAAGGTAGTTGAATATTCAAGAGTACGACAAGAATGACTTTTTAGGGGAGAAGAAGTAAGCATCTCATGGTGGTCTTTAAATGCCTCATCAAAACCTTTGGTGGCTATGTTTTCCTTCCAAATCTTGTAGTCATTTATAACTTGCAGTATTTTAGCTCCATGCCCACATACAACAATCTTCTCCCCTTTGCTTAGAAGGGCCCATCCTTCAATTCTTGTATTCTTACCTTCATAGGTCAACAATTTCTTGAGTCCTTGCAAAATTTCATCATTGCACTCTTCATCAAAGTGATTAATCCCGTCCAAATAATGAATTCTTGACAAAAACATGCTTCGAAGACGAGTCCAAAACCGCCATACTAAGTAGGATTCCTCGAATGCATAGTGACTCAATTTTTCTTTATCAATGATTGATGTTATCATCTTATTTTTACCAACGTAGGCCAAGTTTACCTTCAATTGGATTTTGGAACCAAGTTGGCGTACTTTGGAAGTGAAGTCTCGAATCCAATTAATGTCATTTCCTCCATATAAGAAAATATAATCTTCCGTGTCAAACTGAAGTAATAAGAACATATATAGTTGCTAAACAATTTGTAAAAGAAATAAGAAATTGTAGGCGTGTAGTGTATAATTAAGAGGTTGAAGCTAGAAGCCATACCCATTTTTGTATAACATAATCAACATGAACATTGTGGCCATATGTTCCTACCACAAGGTCGAGACTGCAATATGGTTCTTGTTGCCATAGGAATTTTTCCCTTTCGTTGTCATACGGAGTGGATTGTTCAATCTGATTATGAATGAAAATAAGGTAATTAATGTTATAAAATGCCAAACTTTAAAAAAAAAAAAAAAAAAAAAAACTTTTTTCTAAGAACATGATGACTCTGGAAATAAATAAATACCAAATTTTGTATCCTCTCTTCAATATCGTGTGCCCAAGCAACTATCTTGTGGTCAATGTCACCTACCAAAACACTTATCTTATCACTGATTTCAGGTATCACACTATTAATGCTGGAAGTCCCTTTCTTCAACTCTTTTTGTACCAAAGCAGGTATACCATATACTCCTTGAATTCCTAATGTATTTTTTTCAATATATGTACAACTCCATATCTGTATCATGTGCATTATATTTGGATGAACAATTCTCCCTTGCATATCTAATGAAACAATGATAGGCTCCCCTCCTATCTGGAAGTCTGGAAAGAGCTGCTCTTTAACAAATCTAATAAATTGTGGTGAAATCATTTTTTGCGGATCGTTCAACCAGTACGAGTGGGGCATCCTTCTTCTTAATCCTGCATATTGTTGCTCATCCTTAGTAGTCCATGATGCATCATCATTCTGAGCGATTGGAATCCAAAGTAGTGTTGGATTCGCATACTGGGCAAACCATTTCAGAAAACGAATCCTCTGTGCAGAGATGTCAAAGCCTTGTGTAATTAGCAGGACCACTCTTGTGCTGTTCCAATCATTTAATCCCTAATAATATATATACAAAATATTCACACGTACGTTACCAAGTATACTACAAATTTTTATTTTTGCATTGCATGCTTTTCACCTTATATTAGGCAGTTGGATGAAATAGTTCCCCTACAGTTAAATATAATATATATGAACCTATTTTGATAATTAAAAATACATATAGCACAAAATAATAGTAAATAATGAACATTATTGTCAGTTTAAGATTTAAAATCTCACCTTGTCTTTAAATAGCGTCTCATCATCCCTCACATTGAACATTAACTTGAAAACTTCAGACTTACTAGAAGAATTGTAACATAAAGCACGCTTCACTGCGTCATAGGATTCCTCTTCCCTCTTCTTTTCTGCATATATATATATATATATATATGAAAAATAATTAATTTATATATTAACAATCTTCAATAAATAAATATGAACATATATATAAAATAAAACTAACCAACCTAGTTCTTGGAAAAAAGTGTGGAGTATGGTAGCAGTTGAAGTGGTAAGTTCCTCAAGTTCATCATTTTGAGAAGGACAATAAGTAGTAGTGGCAATAACACTTCTACCTATCCTATAGGTTGCAATTGGCAAGGCAGAGATTATTGATTGTGGCGTAGAGTAATTAGATGATGGCATTGTTTGTTTGAGCTCAACAACACATTTAGTGAGTCGCAAAACACAACTTATGCAATCAACAACTGGTTTTTGGTTGAGGTGAAGTTCCAACTTCTGAGCCATTGCCTGTCTAATTATGTTCCCATGGCCGCTGCAGTAGAGTTGTCCATAGATGATATTAATGGAGAAAGCTGCCAATATCAACACCATCTTATCTTCCCAATCATACGAACACAGCATTCTCAGTATATGAATAGTGGTGGAGTGTTCATTATTTAAACTACTGTTCAAACCAGCTGAAGCTATCTGAAAACAGAATCATCATATATATATTTAGTTAGACTACTTAGGCCTTGTTTGGTAAAATGGTTGTTAGCTGATAGCTGTTTTCTGTTAGCTGATTGTGTTAATTAGATGGTATAAATAGTTGATAACATTAGCTGATTTTAGAAAAGTGTTTGGTAAATTAGCTGTTAGTTGATAGCTGTTTGGTATAATTTTTTTTTTCAAAAAGCTAATTGAAAAAGTTGCTAGGAGTAGCTTTTTTAATTTTAGCCTTTTGGAGTTGCAAAAAGCTAATTAACCAAACATTTATATTGATATTTTAACTAAATTAAACAATTAATAGTGGTCAAATAAGTCAAAATTGGCTTATATGCCAATTTTTTACCAAACAGGGCCTTAATTAATTCTCAAGATCATTATATTATATTATATTGCTCCATCTTGGCCATCAAATGATTTAGAAAGATTAATCAGACCTCAAATGAAAGTTGTCTGATATGAGAGGGAAGATTTTCGTAATTGATGAGCTCTTCAAGTTGATTCAACTTCTCCACCCCTGCTTCTTCACCAATACCCTGATCAACCCCACAACACATTCGAAACAACATTTTAGGTAGCTAGTATTTAGCTTCTAGTAATAATTATGTCAAAATAGTCACATAGTTGTGGGATCAAAAGTGAAAAAAACTCAAATAAATTACATAGAAAATTTTTAACAATTAAATGATATAGAATCACTAATAGCAATAAGAAAAATCATACTGGAAGGTACATTATTTAACTAGTTAAACTTAAATAAATTTAATTTCATGATACCAACAAGTGAAAAGTAGATTAGCATACCATCTTGACACTAAGAATATTTTCGGCAATGCTCAAAATGACATTAGTGTTGAACTTTCTACCGTCATAGTTGTGAGTGGACAAGACTTGCTCCCTGATTATACTCTCATCAGGAACCTGACTTCTTGGTGATGAGAGTGTGATTGTTGGTTGTGGAATTATTCTCCTAGATAGCAATAGTGTTTGGTTTGCCATATTGAATTGAGAATTAGGGGGCCGGGGAAATAATGAGGACAGTTTCTGGTATTAGTAGTCTTTGCTTATGTTTACTCACCACTAAATGATCACTTATATAGTAGCGTTTGAAGCTGAAATGATGGATAATCAAGATGCCCAAAGAACCAAAAGGCTAGATAAAAATATATTCTTATCCTTCCATACACTCCAAGAATTATATTTATAAAGAAAAAGAGTAATATATAAAAATTTCCAGAACTTAAGAAACACGTTATTATAAAGTGTATGTTAAGAATTTAATTCAATTTTAACCCTTTAACTTTCATAACATTTCAACTTGTAACCTCCAACTTTCATATTTTTCACTTTAAATGCAGGACTACGACTACGGGAAAAAAAAATATAGATATGGATCATCAGGTGATATGATGACTATTTTTGGAGGGCAAAAGTATCCTTCCACTCATTATTTTTTTGGATGAAATCACACCCACTTTTCTAATTCATTTCTCCGACACAACAAGCATTCACGACATACCATTAAAAGTAATTTTTTTTTTACTTGTTTAATAAATTTAATAAAAAAATTATTTGAATATAATTAACAAAATTATCTGTAATATTTAAATATATAAGTCTATTCACAAATTATGTTAAAATTAAATAAAAATCAATTATATGTAAAAATTTTCTTTTTATATCACACATTATCTTAAATTAATATGAAATGATTATTGTAAATATCTCTTATATAGACACTAATATTAATTATAAGCAATATATCAAGAATATATATAGAATTTATTAGTGATATATATATGATTCGGTTCGGTGGATCAGATGAAAAGACTACGTTAAGTCTGTCTCATATAGGAGTGGAGAGGATTGGGTTGGGCCCATGATATAGGGATTGAGGACTATAAATAATTGGTTATATTTCTAGATGTGATATTACCATTACAATTAATAAAGAATAATTTATTATGGATATAAACCGAACCACGTAAATCTTGTCTTATTTAAAATTAAATGGGTACATGCCAAGTTATATTGAACATTTGTTTTAATGAAATTATGGTATTATTTTTCAAAAAAAAAAAAAAAAAAAAAAAGGGTACATGCTATGTTTTGTACATTCTTTCCTTTAGCAGTTTTTTATTTGACTTGCTTAAACCTTTTTACCTGGCGTTATCCATTCATCCTTCTACTTTTGGTTGAATATAAAAATGCGTAAACATATTTTTATATACTAAGTGAAGCATCAGCCAGATCAGAAGAAAGTATAAAGCATGTAAGATGGATGAATAATGAAATTAATTACCTCTTGCATTGTATAGTTCCATGCTGAAGATCAGATTATATCAGAGCATTATCCCCATGAATTAATAACTGAATAAAATATAAAAATATGTGTTGAGAAGATCAGAGCATATTTGGTGACAATTGGGAGTGAGGAGCGATACTGCGATAGGGATTTGGGTTTACAAATTACGCAGGAAATGTTAAGGAGAGTAGCTGTGGTTTGTGGGGGAGAGAAACAAGCTAAGTGAAAGACAGTTTAGCCATTATAGTATTAGTACTTTATGTGGTTATGTCTGAATAATGTTTATTCCCTGTGCGAGTGTGTAAAACATCTCAAATTTTTTGTTCTGAAAAAACCTTCCAAAAAATACTTATGAGAATGCGCTTAAAAGTGTGTAAAACATCTCAATTGGTTAGAGAAATAAGAAAAAAAAATTAATAAGAAATCTATATTAACATTTGATCAAATAAATGGTAATTGTAGAGATGTCGTGGAATCCCCATCATCGCCCCTAACTTTCTCCTCAGTTCCCATTACCCACCGGAGTTGGGAAATAACTCGATCCCCATCTCCACAGGGTTACTAATCCCCACCCCATTGAGATTTTTATAATTTTTAATGTTTATTTCTTTATTTTTTATTCGATTTGTGTCATAGTCTTACTTGCTACTTCATTCTCATTATTAATTTTTTTTTATAAAAAATTTTAATATTCTCACGTATCCTGGACCATCTCATTTACACATTTTTTTTTAAATAATAATATTTATTGTGAGATGAAAAAATTACTACATTAATTAAAATATATGCAAGGGGCGGCAGGGGCAGAGTAGGTACTCCTCATTCCTACCAGGAAATGAAACTCTCCCTCTTCCCCGTCCTCATTCCCTAAAATTTCTCCCCATTTATATATCATTAGGTATATGGATACTTGAATTCCTTATCGAGGTTGAGTGTAATTGACATATAGTGATTCAACCTATAAAGAAGAGTCTTGTCTCCATAACTTTATCTCTTTCTTGAATACATTCATTATTCCCAGTGGCTTAAAGTCCATCATTCCTTAGATATCATAGCTTGGTATCGGGCCTAATTTCATGAATTATATTCTATGAACAACGACTTAAAATCTTGGCTTTAATTTGTTTGCTACTTTTTCTTTTGTCCTTTTTTTCTGGTTGAAGTTGCTTGTTACAGCTTCTTGTCCTTAAAATACTCCTTGAACACCAAGCTAAGCTAAGACATAGAAAGAGAGTTGCCCAGCTTGTTCCATCTTTTTGAACCACCAAATTTGGGCCATTCCTCTCCTAGAAATTCTAATTCTAATATAATATATACTAGCGATAAACCTGTTTGAAGTACACATCAATTTAATATTGACAAATAAATGCCTAATCGCATTAAATATTATTACCACTACCTTAGCTTTCTGCAAAGGTTGGCAAATTTGATAAATGTGTCATCTACAATGTAATTGGTATAGTGCTTATACTACTACTTAGCAACAATAGCCACTGCAAAGGAGTGGAGTGTAGCTACTAAAATAATCATCACAATCATAAATGGTAAAAGCAGTGACATATAGATCGAGAAAGAATAAACCGTTGCTTGAGATGTTGGGTACTCAAAATAATAAAAAGACTCATGTTGATTCTTTACAAGATAAAATCATAATATGCGCCCCAGGTCACAACCGGGGTGTATATATATATATATGTGTGTGTGTGTGTGTATTATGTGTTGATAACTAACGTTACATTTAAGATCTAAAAAGAGTGCACCCGAAAATGATTAATGATTCAAAAGCAAGGGAAAGCTGAACAAAAACACAAAGTTTATCGAAAATATTACAAAGTGCCGCACCTCGTGATGTGAAGTGCACTTCTATGTATCAACAAATGCATGCACTTTTAGTTTGGTGCACTTTAAAGTTTGAAATATTTATTAAAATATTACGGCGTTTTTCTTTCTTTTTCCCTTAGCTTGCTTCAGAGCCGTTAATATGAGGGATGAGTTCTTAATTTTTACCAAGACATTTGTTCTTTCGTGATCCCATCCATATCCATTTACATAGAAGGGTAGCTAATTCATCAACTTTTCCACCAGATTCCCAATTACATACATTAGATGACTGCTCAGAGCCTGCATCATCAAACTAATTAATCAAAGATTCTACACAAAATTTGTCATATTCAAACATTTAGATCGAATTTGGATGAATTTGATATAAAATTTTGATGAATCACATTACCAGTGGTGGGGTATTGAGTCTTTGGGCTGCAGTAGTTAGAGAAAGTATAGAACATACTACCTTGTAATATATATAGTCAATAGTTTTCAGCAAAAGAAAGGAAGAGACAATATATATACTATATAGCTTGGCATGAGGGAGAAGAGAGTGTCAAACTAGCTAGCCAGGTATGACTTGCCTAAGCACCAATGAAAAGATGAGATGTTCAAATAAAAGACCATCCAAAATTGGTGAGGCAAGTCATCCTTGGCTACTTAACAACACTTTTCTTTTCATGCAATGCCTCTCTTCCTATTACACTCAATTGGTACAATCTCTTGTTATTCACAAGCTCTATTTATACATAGTCTCAGCCAAAAGTGGATTAGACTAGTCACCATTACATGTTCTTCCATATCTTGATTTCCCATTTTGACATTCCCATATGTGCAAAAGAATATATGCCTTTTTATCCATTTTTGAGGGGTGGATATGTGAGTTGATATTCAAAGCATCTTCAACTAGCAGTGCATGATTGATCAATTTGACATTTTAATTCTCAAAAGATCACTTGATACTATCATTCATAGTACTCCTTTTTTAAGTGCTAACTCAATGCATGAGTTCAAACTAGTTTAATTTGTGCATAGTTGTTGAGTAAATGGTATTAACCATTCATCCCATAATTAGTCTTGTTGTGAAGAGTCTCGTGTATTCTTGAGCAGAGATAGTATATTAAACTCGCAATAAAAATAGGCAAATTAGGGTAATTAAAAATAATAACGGATGAATAATTCGCAATTCTTAATTGGAATAAATATCTGTTTATATTAATGCCATAGAGTATTTATTATGTGGTGTATTGGTGACTATTTACCAGTTTCGTAATTTAGCAATTAGCATGAACATAAGGTCTAAAAAGAAACATAAAATTTAAAATGGCAATAAAATTAAACTGAAATAAACATATATATAATATAATAGAATTGACTAATATAATTATACATGAGAATTGAAAACCAAACACACCATCTAGTACTAATCTTCTTAGGAGTCAATGTCATGACCATGACAACATGTAAAGGTAACAAATTTATGCATCCGGTAAGAACACTCAGGACATTTTTCATTCTCTTGAATTTTGTTCAGCGTAGTTGAATATTCAAGAGCACAACAAGAATGACTTTTTAAAGAAGAAGAAAAAGTAAGCATCTCATGGTGGTCTTTGAATGCCTCATCAAAACCTTTGGTGGCTATGTTTTCCTTCCAAATCTCGTAGTCATTTATAACTTGTAGTATTTTAGCTCCATGCCCACATACAACAATCTTCTTCCCTTTGCTTAGTAGGGCCCATCCTTCAATTCTTGTATTCTTACCTTCATAGGCCAACAATTTTTTGAGCCCTTGCAAAATTTCATCATTGCACTCTTCATCAAAGTAATTAATCTCGTCCAAATAATGGATTCTTGACAAAAACATGCTTCGAAGACGAGTCCAAAACCGCCATACGTTGTAGGATTTCTTGAATGCACAATGACTCAATTTTTCTTTATCAATGATTGATGTTATCATCTTATTTTTACCAACGTAGG